TAGTTTCGTACATCTCAATCATTGTTCCATTGATTTGTTTTTCCACTTGTGTACAGTCAGTGTCTCTTAAGACGGTGGCGTTGTAACGAGTAAGAATCGTAATGGTGAAGTTCTTCCCTTTGATGTCTTCCAGTGAAATTGTGTTGTTAACGCCATACAGTATGGTTATATGTACCTTCTCCGGATTTGTCTTGTAGATCACAGTTGTTTTCACTTCCACGAGATTCTTTTCAAGTCCGTCTTTCAGGGTTCGAGGTATTGAGGAGTAACCCAGACATAAGTTTCCATTCGCGTCTAGTAAACTCACTCTTTCGGACGAAATTCTTACGGCTCGCTCCTCAGGAATGGACACGTATTTTTCATAGACTGGAAATCCTTCACGGTAAACTGGAGCTTTATTTAGGGCATATCTCATTACGAGATAACCAGACGCAACTCTTGTAAATAGTTTGGTTCGTGATCCACGTATCGTTTGAGATTTGATTACTGGAGTACAGAATTTCACTGGTTGTATTGGCATCGTTTTGGAAATTTTGAATGAAAACTCTCTTTTTGCCGGACACTTGTCCGAACCATGAACACCTCCAACATCATGTAACAACAGAACAGCAAAAGCCAAAATTACGAGGACAACTGTCAAAGTCTTCATGCTGTGGTACCTTGATGAAAGTTTCGACCTAATTCTAATACGCACTCGCAAAATAAACTGATCAGGAATTACAAAAATAAGCAATTTATAGACACCGGATAAGGAAAATATTTCAGGTACTTATACGTAAATTTACAAAACAAAAAAACCCCTTGCACTACTTCCTTCTCTCCCGGCATTTCACACACTTTCTCCTTTGTTTATAAACCACGCGGTGACATCAACACTCTCGTTGTTCTTCCATCAGTAGTAACCACAAAAGAGCAGTTATTTTCCAGTTGCGGAACTTAAAACCTATTCTTGTACCAAGATCACTGGAGGGGTACTGTACAGTACCGCAAATGATCCCCAACCGCAAATGATCCCGAGACCGCAAATGATCCCCAAAATGGACCGCAAATGATCCTCGACCGAAAGTGATCCCCAAAGTCGACCGCAAATGATCCCGAAAGAAAAACAGGAATGACTTGGACTCAAGTTAGCGGATCATCGTGTCGATTTTATTATTATTACAATAAGTCAGGTTAAAAGCTAAATTTTACTTCTCAAATAAATATATGAATAAAAACTAAATGAAAAAAATCATTCAAGAGTAAACGCGACGTAGGTAGGCAACACACGACTTTTACCTCATGCTAAAATGCTGCTTGTTCCAATGACTTTTTTCCGGCTCTGGCGGGTAGATTATACCTCTGAGGAAAACGTTTTGACTGAGCAAATGTGATTTTTGCTGCTTATTTCATTTTCTGCGGTTATTGTTGTTTTTGGTCGGCATGATTTGCCCTTTGATGCAAGAGCATTTCCTTTGACCTCTTTTGAAATACAGTGCTCTTCATTGCCGCTAAATAAGGGTTTTAGGTTGTTTAATTTTCTCCTAAGTGCCTCCTGGATCCGAATAATCATAAGGGATTTTCTTTTAGTCCGTGAATGTGACGGTTTCTTACGATGTTTTGTCGCGCGATAACTACCGCTTACCTGGCTTTGCGTTTCTCATTACCAGGTTTAGATTTCTGGTAACTGTCTTCAGCAAAGCACAAGAAATGAATATACATAGAAACGCTAATATAACTATTCACAACGCGTTCATGAGATGTAAGAAAGTTGCTATTTCGAAATGAACCGAAACCTGTGGACATTGATAAGTTCGGGTGCATTTTGACTTGTGTTTATGTTAAATCATGTCTTGTTTCGTAATGGGCACCTAAGTTACGAACAAACGTCTTGCTGTTTATCACATAAAATTAACACTTCAGAGAAAAATCAAAATGAAATATTCTGGCTGATTAATTTCACGCTTTCAAAAAGATCAGTAAAGTCAATAAAGCTCTTGTTAGGTAGAGGGTGCCCGGCTTTGTATTCCTCAATAGAAAGGTTGAGCTTCTAGGCGTTAAAATAATTTTTCTGCGTAACGTCCTGCCTGTCTTAAATTTTTCAAAAGACGCAACATTCTTGAAAGAAAATTTAAGCAATCGACAAAGGAAGAAGTATACGGTTAATACCATACCTTTTCAGATTTATTCCATTTTTTTTTCGCCTTGTGTAAATAAACCTGAGATGTAGCGTCCTCCTTCCCTTTTTCTTTAAAAGGCGAGAGAAAAAGGTTTCTTTTTTATAATCAGTCCTTTTTTGTAATCAGTCCCATAAAATCCATTCCATTCCTCAAGTTTTCACGGGATCATTTGCGGTCGACTTTAGGGATCACTTGCGGTCGAGGATCATTTGCGGTCCATTTTGGGGATCATTTGCGGTCTCGGGATCATTTGCGGTTGGGGATCATTTGCGGTACTGTACAGTACTCGATTAGCTAAAAACAAGAGAATGGAAAATAAATTCTCGAGAAATATTGTCGACAACTTTTTCTTTTTAAGTAAGGATCAATTTAAGGTTGATTTCCACTGACGCGTTTTTTGCTACCTACGTTAGCACACGAATGATTTTGAAGCGAAAGAAAAGGCGTGTAATGTCATATGGTTTTAACGTGAGAATGAGGCAAGCAACTTGTGTTGAAATGAGCGGTACCATCAAACTCAGCTACAAACTGGCAAAGCCAAACACTCGTCCCCAGAGCCACTCTCCTTAATTTGTAACGAACCAAGACCACGTGATCAAGAAACGACGGGCTCTGGGGACGAGAAAGAGCAGCACTTTGCAAATTGCTTAATGACTTTTATTGCTTTAGTGTGTAAATAGTAGCTTGGTGGCCGTTGTTCTACAAAGTAAATCTACCGAGGTGTGAATCTCGGCGGCCCCTTTTCATATTGACGTGCGATATTTTCGGCACCAGACAAACGAAATTTTTCAATTAGCTCTATGTTATTTGTTCGGAAAATCTTATAAACCAGCCCACATGCAGTAGCGCCCCTCAAGTTACTCAAATCAACAAACTCGACCAAATTACTAAAAAAGTGGCGTAAGCACACACATACCACTGAAGGCTTTAATGATCACTTACGTAAGTCTTAATTAGAATACCACTATTACAAAGGAAGATGTTAAGTGAAACAAAAAAATCGCACATTAAAATGCTTAAATGTCACTACTCGACTGTGTGGTCAATGAAAAATGTTGCAGTGTTGACGGTGGACAGGGCATTTGCCCTCTTTTTGCGTCCCCACCTCGAGGGATTTGACACTCAAGAGTCCCCCCCCGGGAATTTGCCATTCAAGGCAAAAAAAATGCTAATGCCCGGGGGTCAGCCCGGGTTGGGGGCGATGGCGCTAGGAGCACAGGTAGCCCAAGCTTACTATGAGAGTTCTGAACAACATTATCCTACTTAGCTAATTAATTTTTCATACGACAACATTTATAAGACGTTGTATGAAAATTATCGTATTTCTCCATAATTGAGCTAAACGTACATTAAATTTTTCCTTTGAGTATTTTGTTACGTTTATTTGTGTGTTGACTGCGTTTCAGGCCTGTTAGGATGCCAAGAACCCAAAAACAGCACTACCCATCAAAGCAATTAATTATTCATACAGCAAGAAAATTATAAGACGTTGTATGGAGAAATATTCTTTGCTCACTAAATTAGCAAAATGTACACTGAATATCGCTTTGGAGCTCACCTTTAACGTCTAAGTGTTTTTCTTTGTATTCTGACTGCATTTCAGACCTCCTAGGCACCGTTTAATGCGTTTTTCTTTGAGGGACAGTTTTTCACCCAGATGACAGTAGAGTACTGTAGTTCTATACTATACTATTCTATTGGTTACTGGTTTACAAGTCTGGTTACCTCATAAAGCCAGGTTCTTAACACACTGAGAGCCCTTTAGGGTATTGTTCTAGTAGTTGAGTAGGGATAGAGAGCTCGTTACGTCCATTGAAACAAGTATGACGTCCGCTGGGACTTTCATATTTTCTATGTACGATTTTTGTTGTTGTGCTATAGTCTGAAGGAGTTTGTCGACTAACGATGATAATTTCTCTGTCGGGCCATCACACCCCTGGTTTCCTAGCAATGTTCCAAAGCAACTAAATTAGAATTATACCAACCAGCAAAAACACTATCAAACCATAGGCTACTTAGACCAAACTCAACATCGAAAACTGAAAATACCTGAGAGTTTTCTAGTCGAGTATAATTTATCAGACACGGTGCAATTTTCGTAGTTCGATCGAGTTTGTCATCCTCGGCTGCCACTAAGCTTGCAAAACAGCTTGTGATGTCGACGACGTTAATGAGCAAATAAGTGGCCGAGCAGAGCTTGGAGAAGATGAAGAGACATCTCTTGGACCATGGCTTGGGCATTCGACCTTGGGCCGGACGCGCTCCCGAAACGGCGATGCGACTCCAACTAAAGTTAGTCAAACTGACATCTGTGAATAATTAACACACGCTATAAAAATATATATACTATGCGCGAAGTCTAATAGCGTTGTTAACAGTAAAATGTCGCCATCGTGCAAATGACCTATGAAAACTACATTTGTAGTTTTAAGCCTAGTCAAAATAAAGTACAAAACCTAAATGTATGTTTTTAAATTACTTACGAAGTGTTCAGAATACAGTATGACAGGCAGCTATCTACTACAGCAGCAACAACAGCACCGACAGATGAGACCTAACAAAACTACCGAGAAAATTATTAAAAAGATTAGGTCAGGAATGAAATCGGGATTAGTTTCGTACATCTCAATCATTGTTCCATTGATTTGTTTTTCCACTTGTGTACAGTCAGTGTCTATTAAGACGGTGACATTGTAACGAGCAAGAATCGTAACGGTGAAGTTCTTCTCTTTGATGTCCTCCAGTGAAATTGTGTTGTTAACGCCATACAGTATGGTTATATGTACCTTCTCCGAGTTTTTCTTGTAGATCACAGTTGTTTTCAGTTCCACGAGATTCTTTTCAAGTCCGTTTCAGGGTTCGAGGTACTGAGGAGTAACCCAGACATAAGTTTCCATTCGCGTCTAGTAAACTCACTCTTTCGGACGAAATTCTTACGGCTCGCTCCCCAGGAATGGACACGTATTTTTCATAGACTGGAAATCCTTCACGGTAAACTGGAGCTTTATTCAGGGCATATCTCATTACGAGATAACCAGACGCAACTCTTGTAAATAGTTTGGTTCGTGATCTACGTATCGTTTGAGATTTGATTACTGGAGTACAGAATTTCACTGGTTTTATTGGCATAGTTTTGGAAATTTTGAACTTTAAAGACTCTGAAGTTGCCGAACACTTGTCCGAGCCATGAACACCTCTAACATCATATAGCAACAGAACAGCAAAAACCAAAATTACGAGGACAACTGTCAAAGTCTTCATGCTGTGGTACCTTGATGAAAGTTTCGACCTAATTCTAATACGCACTAGCAAAATAAACTGATCACGAATTACAAAAATATGCAAATTATAGACAGCGGATAAGGAAAATATTTCACGTACTTATACGTAAATTTACAAAACAAAAAAACCCCTTGCACTACTTCCTTCTCTTCCGGTATTTCACACACTTTCTCCTTTGTTTATAAACCACGCGGTGACATCAACACGCTTGTTTGTTCTACCATCGGTAGTAACCACAAAAGAGCAGTAATTTTCCAGTTGCGGAACTTAAAACCTATTCTCGTAAAAAGCAAGAGAATAGAAAATAAATTGTCGAGAAATATTGTCGACAACTTTTTCTTTTTAAGTAAGGATCAATTTAAGGTTGATTTCCACTGATTCTTTTTTTGCTACGTACGTTAACGCACACATTATTTTGAAGCGAAAGAAAAGGTGTGTGATGTCATATGGTTTTAACGTGACGATGAGCCAAGCAACTTGTGTTGAAATGAGTGGGACCATCAAACTCAAACTGGCAAACTGGCAAAGGCAAACACTCGTCCCCAGAGCCACTCTGCTTAATTTGTAACGAACCAAGACCACGTGACCAAGAAACGACGAGCTCTGGGAACGAGAAGAAGCAGCACCTTGCAAATTGCTTCATGTCATTTATTGCTTTAGTGTGTAAATAGTAGCTCGGTGGCCGTACTGCCACAAAGTAAATTTACCGAGTGGTGTAGTAGCTTGGCGACCGTTGTGCCACTCAGAGTAACTCTACCGAGATGTGAAGCTCGCCGGCGCCTTTTCATCTTGACTTGTGATATTTTCGGCACCGGACAAACGAATATTTTTTCAATTACCTCTATGTTATTTATTCGGAAAAACTTATAAAACAGCCCACATGCAGTAGCGCTCCTCAAGTTACTTAAATCAACAAACTCGACCAAATTACTGAAAAAGTGACTTGAGCACACACATTCCATTGAAGGCTTTGATGATCACTTACGTAAGTCTTAATCAGAATAGCACTACTACGAAGGAAGAAGTTAAGTGAAACAAAAAATCGCACATTAAAATGCTTAAATGTCACTACTCGACTGTGTGGTCAATGAAAAATGTAGCAGTGTTGACGGTGGACGGGGCATTTCCCCTCTTTTTGCGTCCCCTCCCCGGGGGATTTGACACTCAAGAGTCCCCACCCCCGGGAATTTGCCATTCAAGGCAAAAAAAATGCTAATGCCTGGGGGTCAGCCCGGGTTGGGAGGGGAGGGGAGCGCTCGAAGCACAGGTAGCCCAAGCTTAGTATGAGAGCCCTGAACAACATTATCCCACTTAGCTAATTAATTATTCACACGACAACAGTTATAAGACGTTGTATGAAAATTATCCTATTTCTCTATAATTGAGCGAAACGTACATTAAATTTTTCCTTTCAGTATTCTGTTACATTTATTTGTGTGTTGACTGCGTTTCAGGCCTCTTAGGATGCCAAGAACCCGAAAACAACACTACTATCAAGCTAATTAATTATTTATACAGCAAGAAAATTATAAGACGTTGTATGGAGAAATATTCTTTGCTCACTAAATTAGCAAAATGTACATTGAATATCGCTTTGAAGCTCACCTTTAACGTCTAAGTGTTTTTCTTTGTATTCTGACTGCATTTCAGACCTCTTAGGCACTGTTTAATGCCTTTTTTTGGGCGACAGTTTTTCACCCAGATGACAGTAGAGTACTGTAGTTCTATACTATACTATTCTATTGGTTACTGGTTTAGAAGTCTGGTTACCTCATAAAGCCAGGTTCCTAACACACTGAGAACCGTTTAGGGTATTGTTCTAGTAGTTGTGTAGGGATAGAGGGCTCGTTACGTCCGTTGAAACAAGTATGACGTCCGCTGGGACTTTCGGATTTTCTATGTACGATTTTTGTTGTTGTGCTATAGTCTGAAGGAGTTTGTCGACTAACGATGATAATTTCTCTTTCGCCGGCCATCACACCCCTGGTTTCCTAACAATGGTCCAAAGCAACTAAATTAGAATTATACCAACCAGCAAAAACACTATCAAACCATAGGCTACTTAGACCAAATTCAACATCGAAAACTGAAAATACCTGAGAGTTTTCTTGTCGAGTATAATTTATCAGACACCGTGAAATTTTCGTAGTTCGATCGAGTTTGTCATCCTCGGCTGCCACTAAGCTTGCAAAACAGCTTGTGATGTCGACGAGGTTAATGAGCAAATGAGTGGCCGAGCAGAGCTTGGAGAAGATAAAGAGACATCTCTTGGACCATGGCTTGGGCATTCGACCTCGTTGGGACAGACGCGCTCCCGAAACGGCGATGCGACTCCAACTAAAGTTAGTCAAACTGACATCTGTGAATAATTAACACACGCTTTAATATATATACTATGCGCGAAGTCTAATAGCGTTGTTAACAGTAAAATGTCGCCATCGTGGAAATGACCTATGAAAACTACATTTGTAGTTTTAAGCCAAGTCAAAATAACATACAAAGCCTAGATGTATGTTTTTTAAATTACTTACGAAGTGTTCAGAATACAGTATGACAGCTATCTACTACAGCCATCTAAATACCACACACAGATCAGACAGAATAGCACTAACAAAATTATCACGGAAATAATTATTAGTACGATTAGTTCAGAAATGAAATAAGGATGAATTTCGTACATCTGAATCATAGTTCCATTGATTTGTTTTTCCACTTGTGTACAGTCAGTGTCTCTTAAGACGGTCACATTGTAACGAGTAAGAATCGTAACGGTAAAGTTCTTCTCTTTGATGTCCTCCAGTGAAATTGTGTTGTTAACGCCATACAGTATGGTTATATACACATTCTCCGGGTTCGTCTCGTACATCACAGTTGTTTTCAGTTCCACGAGATTCTTTTCAAGTCCTTCTTTCAGGGTTCGAGGTATTGAGGAGTAACCCAGACACAAGTTTCCATTCGCGTCTAGTAAACTCACTCTTTCGGACGAAATTCTTACGGCTCGCTCCTCAGGAATGGACACGTAATTTTTATAAACTGGAAATCCTTCACGGTAAACCGGAGCTTTATTTAGGGCATATCTCATTACGAGATAACCAGACGCAACTCTTGTGAAGAGTTTGGCAGGTTTGGTTCTTGATCCACGTATCGTTTGAGATTTGATTACTGGAGTACAGAATCTCACTGGTTTTATCGGTGTAGTTTTGCTGAGCTTTGAGCCTGAGTTTTCCAGACATTCATACGCACCTCTAACATCATGTAGCCACAGAACAGCAAAAAGCAAAATTACGAGGACAACTGTCAAAGTCTTCATGCTGAGGTACCTTCTAATGCACACTCGAATAATAAACTAATCACGAATTACAAAAATATGCAATTTATAGACAACGCGGATAAGGAAAATATTTCAGGTACTTATATATTCGTAAATTTACAGAAAAATACCCCCTTGCACTACTTCCTTCCCTTCTGGTATTTCATACACTTTCTCCTTCGTTTATAAACCACGCAGTGACATCAACACGCTCGTTGTTCTACCATCAGTAGTAACCGCAAAAGAGCAGTAATTTTCCAGTTGCGGAACTTAAAACCTATTCTCGTACACAGATCACTAGCGGGGTACTCGATTAACTAAAAGCAACAGAATATAGAAAATAAATTCTCGAGAAATATTGTCGACAACTTTTTCTTTTTAAGTAAGGATTAATTTAAGGTTGATTTCCACCGACGCGGTTTTAATGCTACGCACGTTAATGCACACATGATTTTGAAGCGAAAGAAAAGGTGTGTGATGTCATATGGTTTTAACCTGAGGATGACGCAAGCAACTTGTGTTGAAATGAGCGGCACCATCAAACTCAAAGGCACCCAACGGCTGTTTCCTGTGGAATATCTGTTCGGAGAAGCAAAACTATGCCTAGAACTTTCTAAAGCTTGAGAAGGCTAAAAACTTCTAGATGATCGTTCCATTCATGTACAATTTTCGAAGCTTATCTAATAAATTCCTTACGGTTTTCTGAAGTTTAATTTTTCCCATTTCACTCCCAGGTTAAGCTATTTTTCGTACAGAGAAAGGAAACTTAACTTTTGCGGAATCGAAAATACGATGCAGAGAGGAATCAGAAAAATTCTCACTTTCGTAAAACTTTATATTGCAGCTGATTTTCGGCAAAATAATACTGAAGCCCTCGTAATTTCTAAAAGACTCAAGTTACCCTAGGATTACCGAACAGATAAAAATTTTTTTTAGCGCCACTTAAAATACATTTTTAGTGAACCAGTGTTAAAATTAACACAATTCAATTAATTGTGCCGTGCCCGCGACGTTCACCAAAAAAATGTGGTCTTGGGTCTTTAATATCAGCACAAGTTAAGTAGACTTCTTGACAATAACGGTTTCATTTTATAATAAATTTCAGTAATTGTCTACATGTGGAATTCCCAAAAATTTGTCAACTATTAGCTTTTAACAATAGCTGGGCCGGAATTGTTCAAAGCTTAGTGAGAAATTTGAATTCAGATGTGAAAGCTTAAAAAGTGAATTCAGTGTAATTCATTTTGTCAACAAGTTGATAATTGAATGCTCATAAAAATAACAGAGAAAATTATCCGAAAAAAATTTTTTTGAAAAAAACAAAAAGTACCCAGGCTAAGCGCCAAAAGGCCTTCGAACAACTGCGCCCCGTAGAACGTACATCTATTGCACCAGTTTTAATAGAGGTTTCACCGTACGCAACCCTTACGATCAAAATAAGCCATATTCATATTTATCTATCACAAGAATCATCCACCCTTCTCTTTTAACTGCTACCTGTACGTGTATCAAACATATCGAATGCACTCTCCTAAGCTCTGATTACACCTAGTCTAAGACTATATTTAGGCATTGAAACTGTTTCCTGGTCGCCTGTTGCAAAGGGTGGCCAGGATAAGCATGGATTGGGGCAAGTTTCAAGCCTTAGTACTATGCCTGCAAAAATCGTCAACCTCCCCCCCCCCCAAAAAAAATAATAGTTAGTGCTCCTTGATGAAATTTGCGGTTTGATCATATCTAATCATAACTCTACAGGAGCTAAAACAAAACTAAATGCGCTCAAGGCTGGCACTACGGCAAAAGGACAGGGCACCAAACGACTGTTTTCTGTAAAATAGCGGTTCCGAGAAGCAAATATTGCCTAGAATTTTATTTTACTTAATTGTGGACGGCTAAAAACTTCTAGATGACCGTTCCATGGATGTAAAATTTTCGAAGCTCATCTAATAAATCCCCTACGATTTTCCTAAGTTTTATTTTTCACATTTCATTCCCCAGGTTAGGCTATTTTTCGTTGAAAAAGAAAACTTAAAATTCTCAGCTTAAAAGTCTGATGGAAAGAGGGATCAGAAAAATTTTCACTTTCGTATTGTAATACGTTAAATTGCATCTAAATAATGATCCTCTAAGATGACCAAACAGATACAAATTTCATAGCGTCGCATAGATTTCATTTCTAGATATCTAAAAGTACTCTTCATACCCTACAAAGTGTTTTCAACATGTGTAGGAGGAAACTATCGTTGGGTGCCCTTGAAAAGGCTGATTTATTTGAGGCTAATATTTTAGCTGACAAAATTCGCCTTCTACACGAGCATTTTTTTGTGTGTTTGGGTAAAAAAACTAAGTAATGACGTCAGCACAGAATTGCTGTCGTAAAGTGCAATATCATCGTGACGTAACTCTTTTGACAAATTAATGATGGTACGTTATGGTGTAAAACTAGGGACGTGTGTCACGTACGGTCATTTCAGCACATGGAGTGAATGACGATAATTCAGTACACTACGTTACACATACTTTCTACCATCATTCGCACAATAATATCTTGCAGGAAAAAAAAAACAGGAAGACGGAAATTTAAACTAACAAGTTAGAACTTCACAATATGCTACTCTCACAAAAGTGCATTTAAAAAAATTGGCACAATTCTCGAGAAAAGAATAAAATTGAATTAGGATTAAACTTAATCCGGCAGGGTTCTGATCAGTATTGGGAATGTCATAATGTATATGTGCTGAAATATAATTATACTCCAAAAAGGTTTAACAGAGGATTGCCGAAAAGGAACACATTTGTTTATATTTAGACTGATTTTTAGAAACAATAACGTTTTCTTGTTATCGCAAAAGAGCAGTGTCATTTTTCCTTTTGGGTCAAAAAGAGAAAGTCAAGAAAAAAAAGACTGATTTTTGCTCCCTCAAAACACAAAACAAAATAAACAAATTACAAAATTTAACTAAAAAAAGGACTGTTTGAAGATATATTCTAGCCGAACTCAAGAAAACATAAAGTGATTTTACTCTCACCTCTGAAACAATAACTAACAGTTAGTGCCGGGTTAGTGCCAAATAGTTACATCAAGTAAACAAAATTCTCTTGACAAAATAAAACGGTAACATTAGAGTGTAATAGTGCGTAGAACTCGATTGTATATTTGAGAGGTGAAGTAAATCACTCTAACCTGGAACCGCAAAACATTTTATAACATTGGCCAGCAAGCTTATCCCACCGCAATTTAAAAATTTTATGATTCTAAGGGTGGTAATATAAGGCCTTGCAGTGATTGTGTAAAACCAACTTAATTCGTAATCAGTACAGTTCATTTTGTGAGTGCATCAGCGCAAGACACTGCGACTTTCTTTATTTACGACAACCACGATCTATTGAGGTCGAATAGCCTGAAGCCTTTGACAATTGCTGTTAATTAATTAAACTAGGCTTATTCTACTATTTTATGCTTGATGCCATACATCCAATGTTACAGAGAAGAAATAAAGTTTTCCTTTTCATGCTATTAATAATTTTGTTTTTCCCTTGACTATGGTGTCATTTTTCGGCTTTGGGCCTTAAGAAGGGTATCAGTTTTCGCTTTCTTATATACGGCGTAAAAGTTACTTCCTTCCACCACATCCACACCAATATCTTGGGAAATATTGCAGACGATGATTTTATTTTTTAGCAAGCTAGATTCAAACGATCTTATGCCTCTCGCTATTCAAACTACAGTGGATTAAAAAAGAACTGAAAAAAAAAAGAAATTAAGAAATCATAATACCGGGGAGCAAGGGGTGGCGCATGGTGGTGAGAGCACTCGCCTCCCACCAATGTGGCCCGGGGTCAAATCCCGAGGTCGACGCCATATGTGGGTTGAGTTTGTTGTTCGTTTTCTCCTTTGCTCCGAGAGGTTTTTCTCCGGGTACTCCGGTTTTCCCCTCCAAATCTTTATCATTATGTTTGTCATTATCATTATCATTTTTATTATCAGGGGCACCCAACGAGGATATAGTTCAAAACCACTTAAAATAGCATTGTTGAACGTAGTTTAGTATTCAAACGGTAGATATAGGCATATTTTTATCCCCTAAAAACTTTTCATCTGTTCGGATTTCCTAGCTGAAAGTCTAGTGATCCGAAAATTATAGGGATAAAAACTGACCTTCTCGAAACCTTCAGCCAGGAAAAGGCTCCCGAAAATTCTAGGTGGCCTTTTTTAGGGTCAAAGTCCGTTAAAAATGGGTAATTATACCATTTTGTCGATGTTCGAAAATCCTAGGAGAGGCAGGCAAGCAAGAAATTTTACAACAAATGCTCCGAAAATTTTCGATCTCAAATCGTCTTCCGAACAGATATTTTCCCGAAAATTGCCGTTGGATGCCCCTATATTATTCTTAACCCCGACCGACAGGGCTTAACTTGAGTGCCGTTACCAAACCGAGTTTCGCGAGGGTTATTGCGATATACGTATTTCTAGTTTTACCCTCGATAACTCGAACTCCCGACAAACTTGAACTTTTTTCTGTTTCCCTTGAAGGTTCGAATTATCGGGAGTCGAC